CGGACCTCACATCTGTGCATGACCCGGACCTCACATCTGTGCATGACTTTTACAGATGATCATTCCACATGTTTCTGTACATGCTTGCGCTCTATTTTTACACCTTCCTTGAAGGTACAAACGGAGCCATCGCTGCTGGGATTACACACACAGAGACACTGAGTCAAGTTTACTTCAGGAGGATCGTCCTGTTTTCCTGTCGGACTGCATACATAAACATAAACAAGAGTTCTTTTACTCTCATGTTTTGCATCAACACATTGCTCCGCAAATATTCATGAACGGCTGTCCCCTGGTGCCTCGCAGCTTTAGATTCAGATGCAAAATAGGGGGGAGAGAACCTGAACCATGCAGTTTTGCATTTTCTGCACTCTCTTGTTTGTAAAAGCAGAGCTGAGGCAGACAGCATGAATCAACCCCCCCCCCCCCCCCCCACACACACACACACACTCACCATCACCACCAAAAAAGGGGGCCAGGTTGATTGTTCTGTTTGGCTTCAGTGACTCTAATGAAGACAAAAGCTTGTTGGGGATCTGATTTGTTACCTCGGTGCTTTTTAACTCAGAATCACTTTGGTTGATCGGAGATTAAAGCCTCTGAACACACCTGGGGGGCTAATGAAGTTATATTATCACATAAATCATGTTGCAGTTTGTGTTTTGGGCAGGTCGGGTGAAACGATGAACTGAACACATCAGGATCAAAGGTCACACACAGGTCACAGTGATCCTGGAAGAACAAGGTGGAGATTATGTTCTGCAGACAGTTTTTTAAAGATCTCCATGGAAACAGACTCATCTTAATTAAACAATCCAAAGTGTGTTTGGCATGTAGCACACAATGGGAATGATAGTGATATTTCATTAGGACGGTAACTGGCAATTAGGTACATGATTAGTTGTAATTAAAGGTCTCTTCCTGTCATTTTAGATTCCAAAAGGGCACTAACGCTCAAAAAGCAAAGACAGATGCAGATTTTCTAAAAGAATACAAATGATCTTCTGCCTTGATGCTAAAGTTTTATAAATACATAGTGCTCAAAGCATTTGTTGGGGATGACTCTCAGCTACTTCCACACCAAATGTCAGTTAAATAGTTGTGAAATTGAAAGAGTTACAGCCATTTCTGTGTTTGATACATTTGCTCAACTATGGCAGCCATCTTAAATTAGGGTAAGTACAAAAAATAATCTAACATAGAAGGACATCCAGTGATTAGTTTCTGAGAATTTCATAAAAATCTGTGCAGTGGTTTATGAGATATTTTGCTAACAGACAAGCAAGTTTGGGTTAAATAGCTAATGCTAATGTTTTCAACAAAGCTGTGTGCACTCTGAGTATGTGATGGGAATGTGTCTCTGCCACAACCACAGCACATTTTAGGTCAACATTTGTAAAATTCACAGAGTTAGTTATTTTTATTATTTTGTTGGTGGCTAAGGTCAATTAGCTCTGGTGGCCATCTTGACTCCAATGACATCCAGTGATTACTTCCTTAGAGACCAATAATCCAGATACAAATCCAACAATGTTCAGTCAGGTCATCTGGACGGTTACTTTTTTTTTGCTGAGATGTTTCGTCCTTCATCCAAATGACTTCTTCAGTCTGAGGCATCCAAAGGACTTCTTCGTCCGAGGTGCCACATACAAACTGGAGTCCCACAAGCACCACATTTCCGTAGTGGAAAAAACAGTTTGCTGGTGATAAGATGGTTTCTGGGGCCCACCCTCTCCTCTATCAACTCCTCTAAAGCTGCCATGCCAAAATGTTTCCAAACTGGTTCAAAACTTTCTAAGAGCTTCATTGAAATTAGATTTGTATGATATATTTTGAGGCAGCACGGTGGCGCAACTGGTAGAGCTGCTGTCTCTCAGCGAGCAGGTCCTTGGTTCAAACCCCGGTCCAGGGGCCTTTCTGGGTGGAGTTTGCATGTTCTCTCCGTGCTTGCGTGGGTTTTCTCCCACAGACCAAAAACATGCATGTTAGACTGATTGGTAACTCTAAATTGTCCCTAGGTGTGAGTGAGAGAGTGAATGGTTGTTTGTCTCGTTTGTCTCTATGTGTCCCTGTGATGGACTTGCGACCTGTCCAGGGTGTACCCCGCCCCTCGCACAGTGATTGCTGGACATGGGCACCGGCGACCCCCGTGACCCAAAATGGAATAAGCGGGTAAAGATAATGGATGGATGGATGATATATTTTGCTAATAGACAGAAAACACACACACACACACACACACACACACACACATACAAAATCAATTGCATCATCATTCAGCTGTCATGGAAGCAGCGATAACAAGCAGTGAGATGTGCAGCTGAGGCGTCAGAGTCTGTTTGACTGCAGCCACTTGTGATTTTCTCTTCCTGCTTCCTTACACGGAGTTTGACACATACTGAATACAAACACGTGTGGTATGTGAATGAATCTTTAGTTTTCAGCAACAAAGCTGAGCTGTGAGCGTGCCACACTATGAACATACATGGTTACATCCAGTCTCGGGCACTTCCACTTCACAGCATCCATTTGCAGCAGATATGAGCTGGAAGCAGACAGTGAGCTATTCTGGCTTGTGATTACAGGTCAAGCCTTTAAACCCGACAACGCCACAGTTTCTATACCGCCACTCAACCTTTGTTCGAGCTCCACAGCCAGATAAATGGCCACGTCTTTCAAACCTTCAGAAACCTCTTTGCAACCCTTTTAAAAAACTCCCCGTTGTTTCCCCCCTCAGCTCAGACTGCGAGGAAAGCACAGCATTAAACTGAAGCCTCCTTCAGTCAGTTTAAACAGCAATCACACCACGTTGTATTGACTGTGTTGGTCATTTATCTGCATGTCTGTGGTCCTGTGCAGCTGCGTGCGTTGCTCACGTCACAAGTTCAGCTTCCATAAACAGTTTATGAACTCGAGACACTTGAAGAGCTTTTCTAAACACAGCCTCAGAGGTTTCAGTGAATGAGGCATATTTCCGGTTTGAACAAACAGTGAAGAGAAGTGACAGCTCTTCACGTGAGGTGATCAACAAACCAGCTGTTATTGTTAAAATCACCAGATGGGAGCATTTCGTAAAGGTATGCAAATGAATTGGGTTAAATGAAGCTATAATCAGAGAAACTGTATCTTCGGTGAAAACAGTGTGAACGCTGTGCTCGGATTAGTTTGAGAAGCTGAAACAGAGTTGTTAAAGCTAAACAAAGCAGAAGAATTTCTAAAAATCTGAAGGAGCAAAAAAAAAAAGTAGCAAAAAGACTTTCCAAAAGCAAAACGATAACAGTAGCAAAACAATAGCTAGAAGTTACTGTAAAAGCACTAAAAGGCCATCTAAAAGTAGCTAAAGGCTAACTAAAAGCTAAAAGTGTGCTGGAGCAGAGTTACAAAAGAACAATGTTTTAGCAGAAATTAAAAAGATCCCAGTGTATTCCTACTGGGAACATATATTTTGAACAAAGTGAAATGTTTTGACAAGTGTAAACTCACAGAAACCAAAGGTCATCATTTCCTGAATGAGCTGAACGTTTTGATATATGATCAGCTAAAATAGCTCAAAGTATGCAGAAAGAGTTGGAGTTCAAAATGTGTATGAAAAATAAGAACCAGGAAAACAAACATATGTAGCTGATACCAGTCATAAAAGTGTTTAGCAAGCTTTTCCTCATTGGCCTGACATACTCATCAGATATTAAAGCCAACCAAGTGACTAAATATTCTCAGACCTTATGTGTTTTATGACGGTAATAAAGATAATAATTTTATTTATGAAATTCTCTGTAACTTCTCAGGTAAATGTCACACTGTGATATTTACAAGTGCAGTGACTCTGCCTGAACCAGTTAACAAAGCCTGACTTGGTTCATATAAAGCAAACAGAACTACATTCATTCAAAATTTAACCTTTTCCTTCATTTCGTTCTGCAGCATGCTTTAAAAATCAGCTAATAAAGGAAATCCTTCCCTTTTAGAGCTTCAAAACTGAACCCAAAGTGGCATTTTAGATCTTCTGAAGCAAGGTTTTATAAAAGAACATGAATAAATATCTTATTGTTGTTGATAGCTTTTGAACAGAGTCACTGTGGAGAAATAAAGAGCCTTTTCTGGCTAAACTGATGAGCTAATAGCTAATAGCTAGTCCAAGAGGAATCAAGACAAAATGTGAATCGCTGTCTTCTTAAATCATCTTCAGTCTCAAATGATTCATGCAAACATTTCTTTATATCTTTGCTTACTTGTAAGTACTTAATGGCGGCAGCAGGTACATGATGCAGCCTGGGATCACTTTCTGCAGGAATACCGTATTTTTCGAACTATAAGTTGCACTTACAATCCTTTAATTTTCTCAGACGTCAGCAGTGAGCCTTATAATCAGGTGCACCTTATGTATCAACTCTGTTGTGCTTACTTGAAACCAGTTTTATGTGGTTGTTGTGAATGAGTTGAATAAAGTTCGACTTATCTGACTGTTTTGTTTTGCTTAATGTGCCTTATAATCAGGTGCGCCATATAGTCAAAAAAATACGGTATTCTTAAATCTCAGTCATAATAACTGTAAAACATGACTTTATTAGTGGAGTCAAGGTGGACTATTAGCTACTTATTTTGGTCAAGCTTAAACAAACAGAAAAAAACCCTATTCAAAACCGTATCTATACCAGGCACAGTATTAATTGTTCATGATATGTCTTTACTTCAAGAAGATTTAG